ATGTTGCATAATGTTGTGTCAAACAACGCGCGAATAATGTTCCATTTTTAGGAATTGCATCCAGCCAATAAATCAAAATATATCCGGTACTTGGAGATGAAGACTAAATGACGAATGTTAGCCGAATATCTTGCAGTCACTCCTCTAAAATGATGGCCGTCGTAGACATTATTTCACGGCACTCAAAGCAAAGAAGAAAGTGAGTCAGCCAATGAAGTATTGCAGCAGAGATGAATGATAAATGGTCGGACAGAAGATTAAAAATATAAACAAGTTTTGTAACCAATAAAACACTACAGTCTTTTTCACGTCGGTCCTAATGTCTTAGAGACTGAAATACTGGATAAGAAGCCGATGAGAAACGACAGTCGAAGCTAAGCCTCGTAAGCACGGCAGTCAATAAGACACGACAGTCGTAGCTAAGCCTCGTAAGCACGGCAGTCAATAAGACACGACAGTCGTAGCTAAGCCTCGTAAGCACGGCAGTCAATAAGACACGACAGTCGAAGCTAAGCCTCATAAGCACGGCAGTCAATAAGACACGACAGTCGAAGCTAAGCCTCGTAAGCACGGCAGTCAATAAGACACGAAAGTCGAAGCTAAGCCTCGTAAGCATCGTAAGCACGGCAGTCAATAAGACACGACAGTCGAAGCTGAGCCTCGTAAGCACGGCAGTCAATAAGACACGACAGCGCAGGTCGCGGGCGGGTATCGGGCGACATTGCTGAACCAGCGTTCATTTTTCAAGCAGAGTCGCGTCGGCGTCAGGGCGACACAAACTAATTGCTATCCCACACGCAGAGAATTTTTTCTTCACACTCCTGCCAGTGATTCCAGAAACATCTTCGATCACTGATCCTTTTTGCACACTCTTATGATGTCGCAAATGGCGAGGGCGTTTTTTTGCGTTTTTTTTTTCTTGATCCACAAACAAGTAACACGAAACACGAGATCTTATATATAAATCAAATAAAGTACACAGCCGGCTTGATAAAGAAAAATGTAAGTTTTACTCGTTTATTAACGATGAATATATTAAAGTATTAATGTCACTTATTTGCTTAAATCGCAAGTTGACTAAAAATTCAAAAGCAAAGAATAGTCCACAAAAATTCATATCTTTATAGAAAACGTTTCGGAGTCCAGCTCCATCGTCAGTTCGTAGAATCTAGAACATACATAGAAAGTCACAAGTTAATACAATTGAAAGCACAGAACCTGTCTCTTATACACATCTATGAGTAGTTCACGTATGCCATAGATCTATTCACAATTTCAAGGGGATAGGAGCTCACAGCTGAATTTAAACTGGGCCTAAGCTTAAAAATGTACAATGATTCTAAGATACGCAAATCTGAAGTACCGGAGGTAGAAGCTAACACCCTAAAGTCACTGTCAGAAACAGGCACATCACACTGCTCGGCGTGAGTGCGCACAGCCGAATGAGGGGGGCGCGATAGCAACTGTCCGGTCCTACAACTCCTGCCCTTATGCTCAGCGATCCTGGAATAAAGNTGCTATCGCGCCCCCCTCATTCGGCTGTGCGCACTCACGCCGAGCAGTGTGATGTGCCTGTTTCTGACAGTGACTTTAGGGTGTTAGCTTCTACCTCCGGTACTTCAGATTTGCGTATCTTAGAATCATTGTACATTTTTAAGCTTAGGCCCAGTTTAAATTCAGCTGTGAGCTCCTATCCCCTTGAAATTGTGAATAGATAGGTTTTTATGCCCTGTTACTTGTAAATTTAGGTTCTAATTGTGTTCTGTGCTTTCAATTGTATTAACTTGTGACTTTCTATGTATGTTCTAGATTCTACGAACTGACGATGGAGCTGGACTCCGAAACGTTTTCTATAAAGATATGAATTTTTGTGGACTATTCTTTGCTTTTAAATTTTTAGTTAACGATGAATAATTTGTCTGAAAATTTTTAATCTTCTAATAATGATGGAAGTTTTTATTAATTACAGACTGACCAACGCGGCGAACTGATATTTGCAACTTGAAATTCGAAGTCAAAATTACGAAAATAACAAGTAATTGGCATATCCTAGATTATACAAATGAAGGTAAAATTAATAGATTTCATGGAACTCAGTCACATGCCAACTAAACTTGATCGAAGCAGATGATTTGGAGCAAGCAGCTTTCGACGTTGCTAATTTATATTAACTAGCGGAAGGATTGCAAAATATCGAATATATGGTTTCAAAATGTGGTTTTACAACAGTCTATTTAAATTTTTCGTGACGCAAACTTTTCAGCTACATTTTATACCAGTAAAGGAAGCTCTGCCGCTACATAACAGCCATATTATGCAGAAGTCAAGAGACTCAATAGATCGTCAGAGCTGAGGCGTCTTCTAATCCAGCTAAGAGTTTTCTGTGGGGAATAATCGACGGCTGTCATCGCGCGAGCTCGCCGTTCTTTAACGGGCTCATCTCAGAGATGATCATCATTAAAATAAGTACAGACTGGAGATAATATTCAGAGTACCTGCGAAAATATTCAGTGGTATAGACTAGAGCTTGAAAATATTAAGAGGTACAGACAAGAGGTTGAAAATATTAAGAGGTTCAGACTAGACTTTGAAAATATTCAGAGGTACAGACTAGACTTTGAAATATTCAGAGGTACAGACTATAGAGTTTGAAAATATTGAGAGGTACAGAGTGGAGATTGAAAATATTCAGAGGTTCAAACTAGACTTTGAAAATATTCAGAGGTACAGACTAGAGTTTGAAAATATTCAGAGATACAGACTAGAGTTTGAAAATATTCAGAGGTACAGACTAGAGTTTGAAAATATTCAGAGGTACAGACTATAGAGTTTAAAAATATTCAGAGGTTCAGACTAGACTTTGAAAATATTCAGAGGTACAGACTAGAGTTTGAAAATATTCAGAGATACAGACTAGAGTTTGAAAATATCCAGAGTTACAGAATAGAGTTTGAAAATATTCAGAGGTACAAACCAGCGTTTGAAAACATTCATACGTACAAACTGGAATTTAGACAAGAATTTTCTTAATGGAAAATTGCAGCAAAACAATACCCCCTCTCATCAAGCTCAATGGGAGTGGGATGATACTTTCATTTTCAGTTATTCGATTTGTGCATTGTTATTTTTGTTCATAAAACGATTTTAACTCAGCAAGGGGCATCAGCTTCACTGATAGTAACGCTCAATTTTTGCGTATTCTAGTTATTTTGTTATGACTCGACTTTGTTGACTATGAGTATATCCTAATATTATTTATACGTGATATAATAAAGAAAACAATATAGATGGTTAACTATTCACAATAGTCATATAAATAAATATTAAAATTTCCTCGAATAAGTGAGGAAATATATTTCCTCCCTTATATTTCCTTTAAATACCAATGCATTGGATCCTGAAAAATATTATGTAGACTTAAATTATCAATTTCAAATGTCAAAAATATTATTACCTAAATATTTTTAAACACCTAAGCGCCACATGCATGGTTAGCGAACAACATGCACATTTTCCATCCATCGCTCACAGAAACTGCAAGTCGATCACGCGCACCAAATTACACTGCAGGCATGCGGCCTGCTTTATAGAATAGATGTTACAAAGACAGAATCGGTGGCTGAGTCAGCGTTTATCTTGAGATTGATCATATATCGGAGTATTCTTTTTGTCTGAATTTATGGTAAAATTCGTGTCTCTTGAGCTACAATTGAAGAGACATGTATGTTGTTGGCTGAAGAATAACGTTCATATGTGTTTAACAGTCCTACTTTGTTGAAAGAATTTCAGAACTGTTAAGACAATAAGTTTTTTAAATTGTATTTCAAAGATGCTGCCAGATAATGATATATTTATTCCGATTAACTGGGTATCTTTTATGTCACGGGTAGGAACAGTGAAGAAAATTATTCATTCTCCAGAGAACAGGAAAATCTACTCACAACCATTTAACAGCGTCAATAATCCTTGACATGCAGCATCGGAAATTATTTGATGCTTCCAAATATTATCAGGTAATTACACGAAATTAATTCGCAGATAATGCATAAACGAACGGGCGCGCTATGAATATGGCAGAAATAGAAATAGAGGTTGCAAGTGGCAAGTGCGAAGACAATAGTAAGGAATATAATATGAACTAGTTTTGGGACACATTTCTTTAACGACATCTCACATACGCGCCAAATTAATGAAATGCATAACTTTTTGTTTGACAGAAATTACGCGCACCGTTTTTACAAGCACGACAGCCCCGTGTTCGGCGAGCTCGCTACAACGTCCAGCGCGCTCGCAAGCAGAGCATGCAAACCTGTGCTGAAAATCCCGTTGGCCTCTCACGTGTATTAGGTCAAAAAAGAACGCCGTGTAACCGATGCCGCGACTCCCAAGGGGCCTCAACGCGAGATTTTTTACCAGCAGCGTTCACGCCGAGCCCAGTGAACGCGACCCGAAAATTTTGTAAAGAATCCAGAAATCAGAAATTTGTAATAATATCGACTGGAAACATTCAGGATTAAATGGTAGAACCAAAGATAATTAGTTGAATTCACGTTAATATCTGTTAAAAAAAATTATAAATTCGCTACTTGAAACAATGCTGTCTGAATTTATAGCTTTAAGACTCGTATAGCAGGTTTTTATCCAGAAATCGTACTCAGTAGCTTTAGGTCCTGCGAGTTTCTAGGCCAGATTGTGAACACGAAGAGCCCGACTCACTCGAGAGCATTTGAGAAGATTCTTCAAAAATAGGAAACTAAGTTGAAGTGAATTTCGACACAGTAGAAAATGAATTAGAAAGTACGAATAGGGACGCACAGCAACATTGCGATACTGCTTTTATTCATTAAAAAAAAACTATTACAAAACTTCCGCAGATAACTTATAAGCCTAGAATTCAGAGTCAAACAAACGAACTTTTAACTGCTAAGTGATTGAACTAGAATATCAAATGTTTGATCTGATATTTTAGGACTAAAAACATCAAGTAAAGCTATACTCACCTCAGTTCGAGACCAAGCAGCTCGCCGAGGTTAGGGTTCCAATGCTGGTACTGCTGCTTGGCGCGTAGGTTGACATTCTCAATTTTGAGAACCACGGCAATGAGATCATTGAAAGGATCTGGTGGGGGTGTGGGTGTGGTGGATGAGGTGTGAGTAGATCTAAGTTGAGGTTGAGGTGCGCCATCAGGAGGGTTGTCGTAGTCAATTCCATTTGATGAGGATATGGGCTTTGCTTTCAATTTTTCCCCTTCGCCTGCGCTTTCTATATTATTTAAGTATCCAGAAGGATATTTAGGACCAAATCCATAGCTGCCGTTTTCTCTGGACCCATTTGTGGTCTTTTGTAAATGTCTCTGTATAAAAGTGTGTCTCCCTCTCGAAGGCTGGACATTTTTCACTTTGTAATTTACTAGAAAAGATCTTGATCCCGTTAACATAGTTTCTATATCTAATACTAAAAATATGGTTAGGACGACTAGGAAGCTTGCTACAGAGAAAATAACTCTATCTCTGAGTTTCATTGTGGTGAATTTTAAAGAAGAACTCCTCGCGGCTCTGTAGAGCGACGGACAGGCCATGAATGTGCCCTTTTCTATCCACGCCCTCGTGGAATATCAATAAAATTAATCGCGGCTGAACTTCCAAATCAGTAAGTTTCTAAGATTGTACGTGCAACATCCGCATTCGGACGCGCATTGTGGTCAAAGTAGGTTTAAAATAGGCAACCATAAATTAATTTAAAATAACCATAGAGGCAGAATTTGGCACTAAAGTTCACATTCTTATGTCGGATGCCGAAATGTTTTGATTGTCGATGGAATTCAAGTAATTGTCATAGTCTAGTGTGACCTAATTTACAGTGTGGGGTAGTGTGGTCGAGGGAGTGGAGTTTATCTGAAAAGAAAATAAATATTAATTAGGTTGGTTTTAGAATAAATTTTTTCGAAACAGTAGTTTTAATGCTCCTAACTTCCTTCGTCAATATCTGATCAGCTTCCTAACATTCTGATAAAATATAAATTTACCCTCAGAGAAAATAAATGGTAATTTGGGAAAATATCATATAAAAAAATTTTAATTTTATAATATAATAGTTAGTTAGGTTTACTTAAATATTTCAGTGAATTATGCATGATAATTCCTACCAAAATTCAATTACAACAGATTAACAAATTTACAATCAAGAGAAATATGGAGCTAATCAATAAAATATTACGTAACCAATTTGTGAGTCTTAAAACAACAAAGTGGACTCTAACAGACCAAGCTGTCCAACTGCACAAATACGTCGCAGGGCCTACAGAGCTTATCGTCTCCGGCGAACCCATCAGAATATATTACAGCGAACGGTCAGAACGATAAGGAACGTGTTACGGGGGCTTATACTGACTGCACAAGCGGAGGAAGACCACTTCAAGACCTACACTTGTGGTCTTGAAAGGGTGACCACAACATAACCTTGCTGTCAACGTAGAAACAATAAAGACGATTGCTACTTGATGGCCTTACAATCGCAATAACAAAATACAACAACGCGTTCATCATAGAAATAAACTGGACAGCCAATTGTAAGTTGATAGGTAAATTGTCTTTTAATGAGCAAAAAAATATATTTCAAGTAACGCGTGAATGTTTAGAAAAATTCACTACATATCCGGCCAAAGGTCGCACTAAACAATAAAGAACCGGCATTTAAAACGTTACATTTTATTACTGACAATATTTATTTAAAAAATTTTTAAATCATCAATGTTAGACACTGTGATCTATGCTACTCCAGCACATACCGGAATAATTATCAAGCTGTTATTTTTATCAGTAATATCATAACGGAAACGAAATATTAACTTTAAGGCATATTAAAACCTCCAATTACGCAAGTCATGAACGCATGAACAACTTTAACGTCAACAGGCCCAGAATCGTGTTCCAGCATCACTCAAACACGATGAAAGTAAAGTTTTTCTGAGAGTATTAAAGTATTAAGATGCAAAAAAGTATTACATGGCCCGTAAACTTGTAATGAATATCATATACAGTCCATGATAGCAAGATAAAAGATAATACCAGGAAAAGAGATATAACGTATATGGATATTAATTTTCCATTTAAAATGACATAAATTTTAAAATTGTTAATATGTATACATTTTGAATGGTAATTATTAAATACAGGGTCCGCCATATTTATGGCAACGGATGTTTGCTATATAAAATAAATTGGTTTTTAGGAGACTTTACTTTTAGAATGAAGCTTAATATCATCTATTAATTCATCTATTTTGTAGTGCAGAAATCTAAGGTGTCTAAATTTACTACCTATTACTTATGGCAGTAGATAGAAATGCAATTGTAACCCTTCATGAGAAGAGCGAGAGTAATTCAGTCATTGCAAAAAAAACTACAAATTCATCGTGAAACTGTGTGGAAGGTGGAAAAAAATCAAGGAAACTGTTGAAACATGTAATCGACCTGGTCAAGGTAGGAAACGAAGTATCCTAACAAAACAATTGGTCAAAAACACGAGGGAGAAGTTGCGGAGAAACCCTCGTCGCTCAGCGGCAAAATTGGCTGCAGAAGCAGGAGTCAGTCAGACATCAATGCGTAGAGTCCTCAAAGATGACCTCAAAACCTCCCCTTACAAGATGCCAACAAGGCATGAACTAACAGACCGTCATGAACGAATGAGGCTCGAAAGATGCCAGCACATTTTGGATCTCATTGAGAAAGGCACGCTGCCCAACTTGGTGTTCAGTGATGAGAAAAAATTTGACATTGAACAAAGCGTTAACTCGGGTGGATCTGTGGCAACCAGAACAGCAACACGACGTCAAAATCCCATGTCTGTGATGGTTTGGGCCGCGGTAACCGCCACAGGGAGGTCCCCACTCGTTATTGTCCCCTCAAGAGTGAAATTTAACAGTCAGCGATACATTTCGGACATTTTGGAAGCTGTGTTGTTACCTTAGGCCCGCAAACACTTCAACGGCTCACCATGTAGTTTTCAACAAGGCTCTGCCCCATCACATGGCTCAAACATGACCCAAAACTGGATTCAGGGTCACATCCCAGCGTTCATTAGCAAAAATGAATGGCCCTCAAGAAGCCCTGATTTGAATCCTCTCGACTTTTCTGTGTGGGCAATTTTAGAGAGTAGGGTTTGCAGAACACCTCATGATTCTTTGGATAGTTTGAAGTCTAAATTGACACGATAATGCACTGTTAGAAAAAACGGTGAAAAAAACGGTCCCACTGGCGTTCTAGTGGCCGGTCGCCCCGTGAAAATAAACTGTTTTACCGTTTTTATCAGATGTTTTACGGATTTCTAGTGTTAAATTAGAGTAAAAACGGCGAAACGGTGTTTTTTTCACGTGCCGAACGGCCACTGAAACGCCGGTATAATACCGTTAACGGTAATTTGTCTAACAGTGTGGGACCTGATCCCTCAATAAATGCTGCGTATCTCCTGTGAAGCTTTTCCGCGTAGATTGGAGGCCGCCATTAAAAATAAGGGTGGTCATATTGAAAAAATATGTCTGAGAATTGTTTAGGTAATTCTTGGCTACTAGCTCATCCAATAAAAAAAAACAATGCACCTTTTTGTTTCAATGAGAAATAACAAAAAACATGCCTTGCCATAAATATGGCGGACCCTGTACTGCTTAAGAATATCAGTATTGAGCCAGTCGTCGAAAATAAAACAATTAAATTGATCATAAAATAAATTGTGCTCTCGTAGCTGTAAACCAACCGTGTTTGCAATAAATTGTTGAAGAATATAGCGACATAGTCGAGTACTGGTGAACTGAGTAGACTTGAAAATATCAAGAATGACGCACCAATTAACATGCGCAGCAGCATTGCATATATCAATATAAATAGAAATAACATCCATTTAATCAAACAACGAAATCGCACACAACTTCAAAACAAAATAAAATTATGGTGAGCTTTAGAAGAGCACCTACATGCGGGTGTCCAAGGTGGATTTTACGTAATAAGTTGAAACAACTTCAAAATAAAAATTATTTCAGGCATAGAAGAGCTCCTTATACATTTGGGAGTCCAAGGCGGATTTAACTTAATAAGTTGAAACAACTTCAAAATAAAAATATTATTTTGGTCATTAGAAGGACGCCTATTTGCGGGTGTACAAGGCGGATTTTACGTAAAATAACTTGAAGTGAATGTGACCAAGTCAGGGCAGATAAGACCACGTCACAGGATACAAACAACGGTGGATGTCATCACCTACAAATACATGCAAGGTACCCACCGCTCTACGTGACGAGTGAGACCCTCATGGGATAGGTTAAACCTGCCAATTCCAATGGGATCGGCAGTAATGTAAAAACAATGAAAATGGAAAAAAACCTGCATATCTTTAAAAAAGAAAACGTTTCGGAGTCCAAATCAATTGTGAGTTCGACAAACCTAGAATATGTGTACAATCAATTAGTAATCCAAAATTAACAGGTGCAGGGAATGACAGCTAGTGGAATAAGCCTTCCTGTTAGAATGTGAGGGTCAGATACCAAAATATACCTGATAGAGCGAGTTAAAGAAGCTAATTTACTCGAAATGCAACTTATAAAACCGATGTATGTGATATCTGGATCAAACAATCCCATTTAATTAAAATTATAAATTGAAATCAAGATAAATTGTACCAATTTTAACAGAAACATTCATGTGGTATAGTTTTATGGTGTATTTTTGAAACGTAAACGATTGATTTAATCTTAAATTCGTTTCAAAAATATCACCGATAACAGCGTTTCATATATGCTTGAGTGTTCGAGTTCCAGAAGAGTAGCATATAATCATAGGGGAAAAAATAGAAGTATTTATTTTGAAAGCTTTCTGCAGTGAACACTAACATTACTTGGAGTATATTGGATTAAATCAATTTAAAATTGGATTTTTACACGAAAACGAAATCTACCATGCCAGTTAACTCTCGTCATCACAGCAATGAGATGCTCTGAAGTTTGTACGAGGTAAATTAAGCAAAATCAGCCAATGATTCCAATTAATTAAATTTTCTATAAAATGTTTGCTTAAATTTTTATCAGATTTAGATTCTCAAATTTATATATCCAAAAAAAAAATAACAGTAAAGGCAGAAAATTTTATACTAAACACGTCCCATTGATCTTCATCCTTTCAAATCATGTGATTTGTTCAACTGTTTAAAACATATATAAATAACATAATTCACCCCATTATCGCTACATTTCCATGAGCCATAACACTATTCATTTTGATACTCAGCAGCAGTTGAGGATGTTCGAGCTGGGCAATAAAACAATGACTGCCGTGCAACCGCATAATTGGGGCCTCTGCACTATTGGTAACGCAAGTTAAATCCCGAGCATATATTGATGGCCAAGCGAGTTGAATTTAGGGCAACCGATTTACCAGTCAAGCCTTGCAATAAAACGTAGTCTTAGTGACGTCGGAAGCAGCCATAATACATACATAGGAAATTTCATAGGCGAGTCGCGTAGAGCTGGATTTGATAGCCAACACTAAAGAAACGTATTATAAGTCCGAACACATTGCCAGATTAGACATTGCAACTGAAATAGCTTTTGGGGAAGTCACGTGTGGTAACTGTATAAGAATGCTCGAATCCCTCTCGTGATTTTGTTTGTTAGCTTACGATATGTATAGTTAAGGAAATAATAGTTATAATGATTAGTTTCCTTCACTGCACTCATATTGATTATAATTATATTGAACGAATATAAAACGGTTCGGATTTCGCGAGAAAATTCCAGGGAGGATAAATTTTTAAATTAACACGATCCCCACTGCTGAATAAAAAATAATGCAGAATTTTGTAATACAACTCTCAAAAACAACTGCACCTATATAACCCATTGACGAACAATTTTGAAATCTACCAACCAACCAAAATTGCAATCTTTATAATTGATTTCGAGTTAATCTGCGCTATAATAATGATCAATTTACCAATCCTGCCAGTCGCGCAGAAGGCAGTTGGTATCCTTGCATTATGGTATCCTTGGTATCCTGATAACCTTTGCTGGGCTAGATTGTCAAGGAGAGAAGGCACCCAATCCACGAAAAAGATTCAGGAAAAAAGTTAAAGATAATTTCAACTTGAAAAATAAAGTGTGCCGGTAAAAACGTTCAGTACGAATATCTCATTCGGAAAGACGCTCAATACTGTCAAGGATTTCCTTTCGGGAAGCGGAGTTATTATAAGAGTCACTTTAAAAAAGTTGTGTTTAACACCCGTATGTTCGTTTCCTTCCAGTCTTATCAATTCCTATTGCATGCAATAAATGCTAGATTTGTTGCCTCACTTACATTGCATCTACGGTTAAAATTAACCGCTTCGTTGCGGTTTAAAGAATGGTGGTCACTTGGAAGGATACACTCAGACAAATAATTGGGACAAGTTCTCCAAATACTGACACACTTTCTTACCCACAGCACGAGTAGAGAGGGGACGAAGCACTGATAAGTCTTTATGCCGACCCAAACTGGGTCAGGATGACCCAAATAAGGCAAGAAGTGCATCGCTAATTAGGCATAGACGAACTCTTTTGTTTGAATGGATCGAAAGAACAACAACTTGACTAGCTTGAATCTATTAGATAAATTAGCAACCAATTCCGTGAACACGCAAATGAATGGCGTGAAATTACAATGGTAACGTAGACTAACGCTTCATCATTCCTATGTAGAAGCAATCGAAATGGGTACTGCAGAAACAAAGATATCAATTTAGAATTGTCTATTATATAAAATAAGAGATAATGTTGTTAAAATCGAGAAACTTCGTCGTCTGCAATAAGATCATCGTCAAAAAAGTAGTTCGATGGACGTGAAAAGCGCGACTTGTGCAATGGTAAGACTGGGCACATCGAAAAAATTTTAAGGACCCCTTCAAATTATTATCAATTGAATTAGAACGTTGAATGAAAACTATCTTAAATTTTCCAGTCTGGGAGCAACAATTACGATGCCAAATGACAACTACGTTATCGCTTAGATGCATAGAAAACAAAAATACTGTTGAATGTTTGGCTTACAAATCATCGCAATAATTTAATTGGGACTAAAATTTGGCTGGCACCAATAGTACAACTCGTGGTAAGCCTTTCATTACGAGGATTAAATTCATGCCTACAGAATAAAGAAACACAGAGCCATCACTCGGGGATCAATTCGTCGGACGTTCGTCTTGCCTGATCCAGATTGATGGATTATCATTATTTATATTTACTAGGAACATTAAAACTAGTAATATGTTAACTGAAAACCGATCTACAGCATTACTGTCGATATGACTTCGAGAAAAAACAGCGAGGTAAATTCAAAATCGTTGAAAGCTTCAACAATTGCAGGTATAAATATTCTGAAAATATCTCATGCTTGCCATACTTATTCAAAACCTGGCACTTATATAAAGATAAATATAAATTACAGTTACCTAGATTCTATTCAAATTATTATTATAATACAATCTTAAATTCGCTATGATTTTTGGGCACACAGGTCCTCTTCTTGTCCGCCATCAAACGCTGCTTGAGTGGCGTCAACGAAGTTCGCTGATGCGTGGTTAAGTTTGCGAACAAAACTCAAATCAAATGACCTAAGTTTTGATGACGGACCCCCTTAGTCAGGCCTGAACGACTTATTTATTGAACACAATTAAACCAGACAGTTTCATCGCACGTGTACAACGACTGGTCATTGCAGTACACGAGCGAACTGTAGTACTGGTCATTGTGCAAACCATCATGGAACACAGAAGGCGCTAAGCTCCCAAGCATGAGACTCGTGTTTACTGAATGACCATTATTTACGTCTACATGCATTATTCAGGTTAGTGACCATGCATTACTCACGTGAGTGACCATGCATTATTCATGTGAGTGACCATACAACATTCACGTGATTGACCATGCATTACTCATTGCCAAAATAATAAAAAGCTCTACATTAATTTCCTTTGCTACTTTTGCACGCCAGAACACAAGAATTTCGTGAAATGTTTGTCCCGCGCTAGGTCAAATACGGCCGTATGCTTGTCAGAAAAAAAAAACATATATATGACTCGATGACGGAAGCATATCTCCAAAAAATCGCAACCATTATTCTAATTCAACATAACGTAAATCTTGTATAATATGGGTTTAGTATTCAAGAATCGAAAGTTTTTCTGCTTGCTTCAATCAGCCACGCCATCTGCAACGATGACCTCGATCGCCCTCCACGTAGCGATCTTTTTGCTAGCTCAGTGTGATAGGCACTTAAAGTTAGGTACGTGTGAACTTGACCTAAAGCCACTGAACCAATTAATGTTAGGATCAATGACAATTTATGTTCACTGAAATTAATTAAATCTGGCGTGTTGCATGCTTTTTATAATATCATAGAGAACCCTCGCAGGTTACAACAAATCCTACGGCAGCTTGGAACCATCCGTCCCTCAGCCTGAATTGTGTTGATAAATTGAGATTTGAATCGTTGTCTGCCTGAACGACAGCAAAGACAGTCGCGGGCGATGAAAGATCTAAGAGAGTTGGCTTTCCACGAATATCTGCAGCAAAGCTAAAGTTTATGAAATAGTTACCATAAATTAGTCGCTAATTAATCGTGAATTTATCAGCACCAGCAAGGGTAAAAAGAAGAGCACATTAATTGCTTGCCATAGTTGTGTTTTTCAATACGATCAATATTACCGACTATATTTCTTAACGCCCTCTAATACAATAATAAAATTCGACAAAATTCTTCAATGTATACAACCAACATGAAACCACTCTATTTAGAGAAGAAAAGATTTATCTCTTTGATGTAAATCAGACGGTTCCTTATTGCAACCAATCTTGCGTTAAGAGAAATTTATTCGCCAACTAAAGCTTTTGGAAATTCATGAATAACGGAAAAGAAGTTACTTTATAAATGATAAACGTCAACATTATTTTCTAATATATAGGACAATAGCGAGACAGCGCGAGTCAGCTTCAGCGGCGCAGACAGCGCGAGTCAGCGTCAGCGGCGCAGACAGCGCAATCAGCGTCAGCGGCGCAGACAGCGCAAGTCAGCGTCAGCGGCGCAGACAGCGCAAGTCAGCGTCAGCGGCGCAGACAGCGCAAGTCAGCGTCAGCGGCGCAGACAGCGTAAGTCAGCGTCAGCGGCGCAGACAGCGCAAGTCAGCGTCAGCGGCACAGACAGCGTAAGTCAGCGTCAGCGGCGCAGACAGCGTAAGTCAGCGTCAGCGGCGCAGACAGCGCGAGTCAGCGTCAGCGGCGCAGACAGCGCGAGTCAGCGTCAGCGGCGCAGACAGCGCGAGTCAGCGTCAGTGACTGACGTACAATACGTAAAGGTCAAGCCGAGGTTTCCCTTTCAGTGCCGCAAGAGGAAGCGATCAGCTGACGCTCGATTTGTTGACTTTTGCTCCATGACGTTGCATGCACGAACATGAAGCTCAATTTCCTAACGTCTCCTGATATAATTTAAAAATTCCACACCAGCATCACAGTCGTCTCAAATGTGATAGTCATGGTCGCAGTGCTACAGTTACAAGACTGCTCCCTTCAACGTTCATATTTCTAGGTTTTTAGTTTCGCAAGCTTGTAATGTAAATGATTTGAAATGACAAAACTAAAACAACTTGCGAAAAATAATTTCTACGCGTGTTAAAATAATTCAGGTATTAATCGATTCGTTTGTGAAACGTGAAATTAAAGAAAGGAAGTTACAGTTTAATTGAGACTCGTAACATCTGAACACAAATTAAAGCAAGTTTGAAATGAACCCCGTCTTAGTAACGCACTATTTGAACGGACGAGTTCCCTTACAATGAAGGTCAAATATATTCGACTGTGCTGGTGTGTCTTGAATGTTTCCACCAACGCCACCCCGAGGACGACGCGCAATTAATCATTGAGGAGCTGTGAGGCGGAATGCAGAGCAGCAAGTGCCTCAAGTGACGCCACTTAGAGCGATTGCGTTTTGTTGCTCGCAGCTGACGACAGAGGGCACCAGTGTTGAGTCTCTCATAGAATAAAATAGAATAGCGGTTTCAGCGTTTATTAGGTCGTAGGCCTTTCACCGATTCTTAACATCGCAGAACATTCACAGCTTGTTGCGGTCTCGAACACACAAATCGCTGCTACAATTCTGCTGTGCTTAACCGCCCGGCCTCCTCGCCGATTCTGACCAGAAACTGGCGCACAGATCGAACCCGCACCTCTCACTATAACCACTGGGCCACCTAGATACCTAAGAAGCTTGAGAAGTTCAAGCCATTATTAATGTTTTCGACAGAAATCTCTGAATGGCAAACTTACGGATTAGTGATTTAGTGAATAATTAAGATACGTGATAATTGGATTGTAATGAATGGTGATCTTAAGGAACTGAAAGCGCGCGAAGTATCTGCAGCCGTGTGAATCTCAAGGGAGAAAATCGTCAACAATGGCAGGCTGCTTCAAAATTCAGATGCAAAAAGGAGATAACGAGTGAGAATCTGGACGAAACCATGTCATCTTGGCCGGGAAAGTCACAGAGAGGCTACTTTCATGTATTAAATAGTGATTAAGTGACTATGGTACAGTGTTATTACGAAGAGTTAACAGGCTTTCTCTAATTGAACATCTAATGACCAAACAACTCTGAATATTTCTATGGTTTGTTTGGCATGCAAAGTATGCGCAAAGCACACAAATTTCTCAACACGGTCTACAGAGAGCTAAAGTAATTCAAAATGCAGAATTTTAAATATTCTAACGCCTGAAGGCGGAATCGCAGGCCTCTGTAATTGTGAATTGACACACTAATTCAGTTTAGAATAGTAAAGTCAGGCTTCTTGCTTCTACCGTAGCAGTACATGCCATTATTGGGTCTCAGCAAGGAGGTCGTCGAGAATGTCATAGGAGGTCAACTTACGAACTTAAATGGTCTTACCACTTTTGTATAGGTCGCCCGAGACACTGGATTGCGATACGATGGCTTAAAATTTCGCAATAGTTATCTATGCCACAAAACAAATGCCTCAGCAATTGACGTTCATGCGACGAGTCTCGGTGTCTTGCCAAACTATGGCAACCTCCATTAGTTATATGGGTGCCAACGCAGTTTTCCCTGCGTGAACAATGAAAGAAATATAGAAGAGGCGCTGGTTATAGTTTGACACGTGGCATATCAGCCACTTGACACACCACTAAATAAATTCCCATAATTTTTAATCAACGTATCACACACAAATCACGTAAAGTGAAGGCGAAAAATTCTGCACTCATTGGCACAGTTCGCGAATGCCAAATGTAGCCTTGGAGTCGCGCATTGCTGATGTGCCACATCTCCGTCATGTTGCAAGAGCACAATCACGTCGTGGGCGCAGCCATGCCCTAGCTCGGCAATAAAATAGAGAAAAAAATAGCTACGATTGAATGGATAAAATCAGACATTAAACTGGGTTAAATTTTCTAAAGAATATGCGTGTGCAAAAACAAGGTAGGGCCAGCTAGTAAAGTTGAACTATGGGCGTCAAAATCAAAGTGAAATGCCAGAAAATGAAATAAAATTTTTTTTGGACTAAATGGGCGACCTCGAAAGAAGCTCTCGTATTTTTACGCGGTACACCCATTTTATTCGCTCACACTGGTGCAAAATTTCTTCAGCTGATCACCCTTCAACGCTAGTAAGGATTTTTAACACAAATTTCTTCATATTACACACTGCACAGCGAGGTGTGGTACTGCACAGCGAGGTGTGGTATAGAACACCCTGACTTGTGCTGAATAATGTTCATAGTGATAGTCGTAACTTCAAAGATGTTCAAGTTTAACGAATATATTCATAACTTTTCCTTTCCAATAGCTTCTAAGGTCACTCGCAGCTAGAGACGACTTTCACAACTCATATGCTTAGAGACGTTTAGCCTGCGCGTCAATCCCTTTCATAATTGCAGACCTCATCTCCAAGGCGAATAAGAGGCAAAACCTGTTCATTATCATGCAAGGTATCATCGTCTTCCAGCAGTGTAGGGAAACAACAGCAGGTCCCAATGATTCAGCCATATAAAGCTCTAATTAGGAATTTAAATGCATAGACAATACCACAAAAATTCACCATATCTTAATAAGAGAAAACGTTTCGGAGTCCAGCTCCATCGTCGATTTCCCTTATAAAGATATGGTGATTTTTTTCTGGTATTGTCTTTGCTTTTAAATTCCTGATTAACTTGCGATTCAAGCAAACAAGGGATTTTAAAGCTCTAATTTGTTCATATGTATAAGAACGAAGGTTTCTTTACCCTAAAGCGACGCTTTAGGGTAAAGCGGTAGAAACCTTCAGGTACATATTCTACCTTTAACAACATAAGGCCAAATGAGCTGAATAAATAACAGTTACCGACAGGAAAAAATTAGGAAATGCCAATTAACAAATGTACCGAATATAATAAAAAAAAACTCCCATTGCCCGGTGGAACTTTAAATCCCAGCCATCAATACCAGGAAGATATCCTCGAGTTCTATAAACAATTTTATTGGTTGTTCCGCTACGGATGCAGAAAAAAAGACAAGCTGGCTCATTACGACCACTGCCACAATTAGCGAGTCTCTGTGAACACAAGTATTGTTTGGCATGTTTTGTTGGCTTTGTCGGTCAATGGTGTTTGTAGAGGGAAAAGGCAAAAAGGCCTATTTCTTACAGGACAAAAGCATGCGATATTGGTCAGAATAGAATATTCTGTCAAGACTCTATTCATCAAGACTCTATTCTTGAGAATAGAGTCTTGATGATGAGGTTAAGAAAATATTCTTGGCCAAAGAGTATGATAAGTAAGAAATAAAAAAAATAAGTAACAGTATGGGTCGAATTCAATTAATGATGTAAATATTGAGAAGTTTAAGTTAATTCCTATTAATTATGTAAAAATATAAAATACGTAGATTGAAAAGTAGATAAAAAACATGAAATTCTGGAGCAAGTCGACACATGTATCATGTAGAAGAATTGCACGGTACTCGAAAAAAATACAGGATTCACCGCAAAAAAAAAAAAAAGTAAGGTGGTCTTAGCAATGTCATGGCGCATCGAACTTTGGTAAACTTTCTAAAACAATTCTCGCAGCCGACAATACCGAGATCAAACTTTCAACGTGGAGCGCAAGCGGCAGCTAGAGCCCTTTCTATGGAATGCCTTCGTCCGATCAAATGGTTTTGATATTTATTCATTGCATTTATTTCCCATAATATTTCGAGCAATTCCCAATTTTTAAATTTTTGTTCATCAAATCAAACAATTGCATTTTTGGAATCATTGTTATCTTATTTGTGCCCTTGAAATTCACCTGATACGACATTTAACAAATATACTCAGTTCAAATTAGGATTAAATTCCTTTTGCAATTTTACGAATAAATTGATGAGGCTATAAATATTTTATGAGGTTTGCCATGTTTTGCTGATATGAAAATAAATATCCTTTATTTAATTCAAGTATTTATGGCGATCAATAGGAAACTCTATAAAAGCAGAGTCAAATACAAAAACAACCTGAACTTATTTTGCCTGAAAAAATACGGTGAGCGAGAATGAGAACTCAACAACAAGAAAAATACATACTCCTTAATTAATGAGCTTTTAGTCAAATGTATATAGTATAGTACCATCTTAACGAAGCAGCCAACGGTAAATATCCCTGAACCGCATTCTATTCAGAGCTGAAAATCAATGCTAGCTCTAATTAGATTGTTTTCGTTCCTCAAACGAAATTTTTTTTGTAATTAATGAATTAAGTAATGAATTGTGGACATCAATGATTGGAATTTGAACGTCTACGTTATTTGAACTGCTTTTAATGCTAAATTAAAATCTCGCAGAGGCAGAGTTATTGTTGTTTTTTAACAGGCAGAGTTATTGAAAACATACAAAAAGCAGGCTTAGTCCCAACGAAAAAGAGGGGCGTACACCTTTATGCGTAATATTCTTTGCTCACAAAAAAATAATAATTTGGGATGAGATATTAAACTTTGCATTAGAGTTGGAAATGTCATATCCATAGGCTGAACATGTTGAACTTATGATTAATCCTAAAAAGTTTTTAAATCTACAGATCCATATCTGTATGAAATAAAATGACGCTCGAAAAAAAGCGGTGTAACTCAGATATATTTTCATCTTTCTTGCCCATCTCAAAATGAAATGTAGCCACATGTGAATGTTGCCTTATATATATATATATTGTTTATTTCTAAATGTACTTACAATTCAGAAACACTTAACTACCAGCGCATTAATTCTAACATTTGGACCCTGCTTTTAAATATATTAATTTACTAGGCAAAC